TCTTCTGTTTGTTGTGTGTTCACTTATTTATGTCAGCAGGACTCACAGAGGTACGTTTACTACGTGGCGTTATAATCCAATACTGCTTTATTTATTTTTGCTGTTCCAAGTTTTAACCACTGGGAGTTCTTGCAGTTGGCTCCCGTGCCCTTTCAACATGTTTCAACCGAAGTGCACTTGCTTTTGGCTTTTTTTTTAAGCAGGAAACTTCCTTATTTTCCTGAGATATTGAATTTTTGATGAGTGTTTTTAAACACAGAGAGACTAAGCTTTAAGAACAGAGCTTGAGAGTACAAAAGCTGAGTGATTGAAGAAAAGACATATTAATATAGAAGACAAAGTATGATTTTCCAATTGCAGTCTACGTCAAGGAACTGCTTTATTCCATCTGTTACTGTTAACATCAGTGCTGGGAATTAAATTGTAACTTGAGGGGGGAAATATCAGGCAATAAGAATGCATGCAGATGGCTAAATGATTCTTACACAGTATAAGGTATAATTTCACAGGGACCATTGTAAACTGTCATATGCCAATAAAATGTCACCATGGAGAAAAAAGAGAGCTGTGACATGTAAGAGACACTAATGTTCTCAATGAGGCAGTCATTCATTTATTAAGGGAAAGTCAATGGCCTCCTGTTTGATCCTCACTCTCCTGGCTCTGTCTGTACACAGTCACTTCCCTGTGAGAACTGAAAAAGGAAAACAAACACACTCGGGCAGTTCTCACACTGGTGTTAATGTGCATGAATTCCAGTTTCCCTTGAATCACACGAATCCCACAGCACATGCCTCCAGCTTCAGTCACTATCACACTTTTACTAGAAGGAAACTTGACATGCAGTGTGAGCAAAGTAAAAGCTGCCATGAGGCTCAATCTTCTGGGCCAGCTCTTCAGTCATGGTACAAATCAGTTCACAAACAACAAGTGTGCCTCTTGACCAATGACCAGTTAGGTCACTTCTCACAAAGTCTGCTGGTGATGGGTCCCTGCAAATATTTGTTTATACACAAGACCTGTAGCCATGAGGTCTCCTTTCCCAGAGCTGTATGCACATGACACTTCACAGAAATGAATCATGGAGAAGAGGATTTGACAATGGAGGTAAAACTGCAGTAAAGCAAGGAGGAGGTGTAATACGGGAAGTGATGTTGGAACAGAGTAAAGGTGAAGTCGAAGGCAAGTCAGCAGCTGCCTTGGGTCATGGGGACTTGATGCTGCTTCAGTTTCCCAACACTGGAGGGTCTTGGTAAAGGAGAACATCCCAAGCTAAAGGAAAAAGTAGGGATGTGAATGTGAGTGAAAATGTTTCAGCAGAAGAGACATCAGCATAGTATGCCACATTCAAGGAGTTTTGGCGGATCGTCACATCTTTTTTTTTTTAAAGATTTATTTCATTTTTATTGTAAAGGTGGATATACAGAGAGGAGAGACAGAAAAGAAGATCTTCTGTCCAATGATTCACTCCCCAAGTGAGCGCAATAGCCAATGCTATGCCGGTCCTAAGCCAGGAGCCTCTTCCGGGTCTCCCACACAGGTGCAGGGTCCCAAAGCTTTGGGCCATCCTCGACTGCTTTCCTGGGCCACAGGCAGGGAGCTAGATGGGAAGCAAGGCCACTGGGCTTAGAACCGGTGCCCATATGGGATCCTGGGCGTGCAAGGCGAGGACCTTAACCACTGCGCCATCGCACTGGGCCTGGATAGTCACATCTTGACTGTGCCAAGGGCAAGAAGTGAACAGAAAGGTGGGCGAGAATTCAGGAGCTGTAATTTATACAAAATGATGACAAACTACCACAGACAGAACTTTGTAAAGAAACAGAGCACTTTTCTTATGATGTCACTAATGCATCCAAATACAGAATACCAGCTAGACACTTGCTTTATTAATATTTCATTACTCCGTTCCAGGCACCCTGACCAGAGTAAATCCTGATGTATATCCTACATATTAATGACCTGCAGTGTGGAAGCCTTCATTATCTGGGCATCATAAACTGGACAGGCCAGAGAGCTATCTCCATCTTCTGTTTGACTCTGAAGGTCATTCTCCCAGGGCTGCAGTGGAGAGAAGCATTGTCACAATCCTGCCTCACAATGCAAAGTAGGGACTACCCAGGCTGGATGTGATTGCCACAGAAGTGAAGCCAGTCAAGAGGAACTGGAGTGTGGAGTGGGAGGTGCCTGGTATTTTCCATAAGGTGGCTTACGGGATGTGCGCGACCCTGTGCAGATGCTCCGAGGGAGAGAGGAAAGGACTGAGCCATTCCAACATGATGGGGAGAAGCTGGGATCATTTATTTATGAATAAATGTCAGATTTCACCTGACACCCATTGCCACAAGCCACCCAGAAGTGTGGAGGGAAGTAAGTCAGAGGTTCCAGCGATGGTGCAGCACAGGGGATGCTGTTGGGCCCATGCAACACTGTGGATTGATACTAGAAGTAGCCTTCTATACGCAGGAATGGGCTTGCCCTGGCTCAACAAAGATGATTGGTGAAGTTTCTGGAGTTTTGTGATCTGGTGGTAAACTGTTGGTAGCCTGAAATTAGCCACTTGGAGAGTATTTTTACATAGAAATTGGCAGCATTAAAAATTAGGTTTTTTTTTTCCTATTCTGTCAATTGTTAAGTATCACCATCTCATCACCGGGTTTTGGCATATCTATTTTTAAATTTTTAATATATTTTCAAAAATTCTTTATTTGAATGGCAGAGTTACAGAGGAGAGGGAAGAGAGAATGGAAAAGTGGGAGAAGGAAGGATGATGGGGAAGGGGTTGGGGGAGAAAAGGAGAGAAATAGAGAAAGAGAGAGATGGAGCTTCCATCTGCTGGTTTACTCCCCCAAAGCCCACAGAATCCAAGCTGGGCCAGGCCTAAGCTAGGCAACAGAACTATCTGGTCTCCCTTGCGGAGTGGCAAGGACTCAGTACCTGAGCCATCACCTACTGTCCCCCAGGGAACACAGCCACAGGAAGCTGTAATCAGAGCTTGAACCTGGCACTCTGACTAGGCATGCCTACATCCCCAGCCGCATCTTTCCTGCTGCACCAAACATGGCCCCAGAGGGACTAGCTCTAGAGAGGGTTGGCTAGAACCTGTGGCTCAAGACCAAGACCAAGATGACGAGAGTTGTTCTGATAGTTTAGAACAGCCTTTTTGCTCAGCTCCTGAGGAGGTGCCAAGAGCCAGGGCCCAGAGCCAAGTATCTTGGCCCTTGCCAGGACCACAAATGCAGACCCAGCTGTCCAGGAGGCCAGGAAGGAGGAGCAGGAGCCATGGGTAGGTGGACGTCACAGGAAGGGAAGCGATCAGAGTTTATAGAAGCTTCTCGAGGATTCCTTCTCTAGGGCTGAACCCCTCAGAACAGGTTTCCTTGAGGCAGGGAGGACAGAAGGAACTGAGAGGAAACGTAGCCATATGGATCACTGTTCATCTTCAAGAATTGTCTGCTACTTCTGCAATGTCCCGGGGGCTGCTCTCCTGGGGTGCCTGTTGGGAGTGGAGAGGACAGTGACTAATGGCAGCCGCTGAGACATGCCTCTGGCCCCTCCGCTTTCAACCCCAGCACCTCCACCCCATCCCTGTCACTTCTGCTCAGATCAGTGGGCCTGGGGATTCCTGACACTGCTCTAAACTGGGCACTCCTCTCACCCCAGAGTCCAGTTAATGAAACAGCAGCCTGCGAGAGAACTAAGTGTTCCTCCTTCCTCTGTGGGATCACTGGGCCTCTGCAGTGCACACCCTTTGTAAACCCTTGATCTAGCCCACCTCTGACATAACTCCATCCCCGCATTTCTTGGAAGCTGAGCACCTCATCAATTCCCAAGGTGTCCGAGGAACAGTGGCCATCTTGTGTAGACCTGGCTGGCCCTGACATTTGCAGAACAGATGACCTGGCCTGGCCTGCTGACCCTGCCCTCCCCCCAGCATACACAACTTACTTTGAGGTCTTCTGCTTTTTGAAGACAAGGATGACAGAGACACCGACTGCCAGCAGCGCCTTGGGGCCGAGGAGGACAATTACGAGGAGTGAAGTAGGAGGAGAATATGGAGCTGCAGATCAGAGACAGGAGCAGCCATTAGAGAGGCCCCCATGAGTTCATCTGAGGAAGCCTGGCCCTGTCAGTGCTCTGACACCTGCGTCCTGACCTGGCTGAAGCCCAAGGTAGAAACCCAGGTAAAGGGGTCCTCATGCCCTGTCACCTGTGCCTCTGCCTGCTAGGCTGTCCCCCACTGAGAGAAGGATAGACAGTGCACTCAGTAACATGATACCCACAGGTGGCACCTGGCTTTCTATTCTCACAACACTGGAGTGAATGGATTATTATTCCCCCTTCTGTTGAGGAAATTGGGGCCAAGAGAGCTTAGAGAAGGTCTTACAATCTGTGGTCTGAGCCGGGGGAGCCCAGCATTGCTCTACCTTATGGCAAGCCACATAATCTGGTCCCTTGGACCCAGGCCAACCTAACCTTTCAGGGCTGCAGGTGCAGCTGTCAACAGAGCATGCCTGTGGAGTGAGGATGGGATCACAGCAAGATGGGATCCTTAAAAAACATAAAAGAACCAAAGTTTTAGGAGGCTCTGGGCCTTTTTTATGGAGTCATTGTCGTGGTGCAGCAAATTAGTAAGCCATCACACGCAATGCTGACTTTCCATCTGAGTGTTGGCTCAAGTTCCAGCAGATCCACTTCCACTCCAGCACTCTGTTAATAAGCCAAGGAATGCAGCAGCTAGTGGCCCAAGTACTTGGAACCCTGCTATCCATGTGGGAAACCTGGATAGAGTTCCTAGTTTTACTCTGGCCTAGCTCATACTATTACATTATTTGTGGACTGAACCCACAGATAGGAGATTTCTTTCTCTCTCTCTCCTTCTGTCACTCTACCTTTCAAATAAACAAAGAATTAAAAAAAAATATGAAGAATACTGTCTCCACTGACAAATAAGACTGGATTATTCTGTACTAATAGAAAGAAGTCAACTCACCCAGAAACATTGTAGAGTACCTGAAAAACTCAAGCCTGGGCAATCAAAATACATATCCCCATGGAACCTGGGATTGTGATGACTGGGGTAACCTATGCAAATGCTGGTGTGGCAGGAACATGTAGCTGCTGCCCACACAAATATCCAGCCCCAGTGTCAGCAAGGATGTCAGGAAGCTGAAAGCTCGCAGGAAGCTCTGGGCTCTACAGGTGAACAGAGACTGAAAAGCAGACACAAGTCAGTCAAGTGGGGCAGACTCATTCCTCCTCACAATTTCCTGGTAATGGCAGCTATGAATCCTAGAAATGCTACAAGGAGCCTGCAGAAGGGGATTTCAAAGTTGAAGGAGAAAAGCAGACAGGCAGGGACCTGAGGCCTGGAAAATGACAACACAATCAGACTCCATAGGACCCAACACCAACACCAAACCCAACTCCCAGGCCCCAGCTGCAGAAGGCAACACAAGAAAATGTGGGAAAGTCTCTCCCTTAAGAAAATGGGCAGAGAGAAGCAAAGAACCCCAATAAGGAAGGAAAAGGGGGAAAATGAAAGAACAGAAAACCAATGAAATTGAAAGCAGCAGAGAAACTGAACAGAGGGCTCATCCTTTGAAAAGCTGAATAAAAATGAAAAAAAAAAATTCTAGTCAAGCTAGCAAAGTAAAAAAGAGAAGTGACAGATTTCCAATACCATCAATGAAACAGGGGCTATCACTACAGGCACTACAGACATAGGAAAAATAATAGGGGTTGCTGGGATCAGTTAGCCTACAGAAATAGACAAGTTTGATATAATAAACCAAAAATTCCTCAAAAAGCACAAATCTATCATCAATCGCTCAACAGGAAAGGAATACAATATAGAGCTTTGAGCTACTATGAAAACTGCTTCCTACATTTTCCAACTTCTGAAAAGATTTCTGGAGACCCAAGGTTTGCATGGAAGATTCTACAAAGCTCTGAGAGATGCCTGTGGCAGGAGAGCAGAGTGGGCCTCTTTGCTGCTTCTCCAGGAAACGCCTGTCACTCGCATCGGGTCCTCTCCCATCTGCTGATGCCAGAACAGCAATAGGACATGATGACATGCCCCAAACTCAGTGGTGGTTACTCTTGAGCATGGAATTTGGAGGAGGGAGCTGGCTTTAAAACTCTGCTTGATATTTATAGTCTTCTAGATAACTCTATAATGAGCAAGACTATCACTTCTCACATGATTTGAAAAAGGACAACAGTCAAGTAAAATTTGAAAACAGCCAGGCCAGCTAGAGGGGTAGCCTCACCAAGGATGGGGTTTGTGTAGGGCTCCTTGGGCTGGGCCGAGAGCTGCAGGGTGTAGTTTCTGGTAACTGCTGGCTGCCCGTCATGCTCTACCCGGCAGGAGAGCACCAGGTCCTCCATTTGGACAGAGGAGTTTACCAACAGAGAGCTCGTGTGGTTGTAGGTCCCATCCTTGTTTTCCACCAGTGTCCAGGACGTCTCCAAGCGGGACATATTTCCATTCTCCAGCCAGGTCAGCTGCACACGCTGGGGGTAGAACTTGTCCACGTGGCAGTAGACAATCACCTGGGTCCCTGTTCCTATATGCTGCTGTGTGACCTTCACGGTAGGGGGAACTGAAACAGAACAGACACTGGAGGAGGAGGGACTTGGTGACTGGGCTCCCGCCGCCAAAGTGAGAGCACCTCTGAGCCAGGGCCAAGCATATAGCAGACACTCGAGTAGGAAGGGACTTGGCATAAAAATGGCATCACAACATGTGCAGAAGGTGCAGAGGGCTACTATCAGGATGATACTATGTGACTCAACAAGCCCAAACACCAGATGTAGGTAGAGCAGCTCCTGCAGGGATATCACCAAGCACAGGGGCTTGACCCACACAGCTGCTCTGCTAGAACACTCTGCTATCAGTAGGATGAGTGGAGTCACCTGCATAGTGCTTGGCACATGGCAGGTGTTCAATGGCAGCTGTCACTAAGAGGACAGGAAGTGACCAGCACCTCAGCTGCAAGGTCAGTGGATAGGACTATGGGGAATTGGATGCAGGATCTTAGGCCCCAAGCAAACTAGCAGGAAGCCAGGAATAAGCACGGCAGAGGACATGATATCTACCTCGGATGATGTCAGACAAGTTGGCAGTCCCACGAAGAGGCCTCCCCTGCAGCGTGACGTGGGCCACCTCACAGATGACCTGTGAGTGCACGTCCCCAGGGTCCAAGACCACCTGGGCGATGCTGGAGACGTTGTAGGAGCCGCTGTTTCCCATAGACTCCACGCTGGTCTGGAAGGCAGAGAGCTCATTGCCATTCTTGAACCATCTCAGGCTGATGTTGCGGGGTGAGAAGCCATGGGACTTGCAGGTGAAGCTCACGGTCTGCTCAGGGGCTGCCCTCACCGCAGGACCAGACACCTCAGGGTTGGAGGGCTTGGCTACAAAAGGAACATTCACACAGAGGAAACAGAATTGTGATGACTGTAGCAGCCTCAGGCCAGTGACACGAATGTCATGTCTATGTAATCGTGCTGGGCAGCAGGCCTTCATCTTCATTCATGGAGGCTGGAGGTCTGACCATGAGTAGGGTGCAGGAAGCACAAGTGGACTCCGAGTCTGAGTCCAAGTCCTTCCTTGCAAGGCTTGACTCCCGAGCTCGCTCTCTCTCTCTCTCTCTCTCTCTCTCTCTCTCTCTCTGATCACTCTTCCCAGCTGACTCCCCCCAGAAACTTTACACACTTCAGGGAAGGTGTTTCCAGAAGCGCCTGTGGGGTAGTGGCTCAGCACTGCTGCCAAATGGCTGGAACTATTGTGGCCAGCTGGGAATCAACCCAGTGGATAAAAGATCTTTCATTCTGTCTCTTTTTTCTTCTCTGCAAATCTGCCTTTCCAATAAAAATAAAATAAAATAAAACAGTGAACACTTGTGGTGCACAGGGGCTCTAGTCATTCCTGGTTGTGAGGCTGCGTGAGTATTCATGTTGGAGACAGAAGGCAGGGTCACAGACAAAAGCTCTGAGAGGAGTCTCAACTGTGGCCTGTGCAGCAGCCACAGAACCTGAATACAAACAGGAGAAGGAACTGCCCAGGGAGGTCTCGCCTTCTTCCCTAAAAGATCCTTACACCTGGCAACAGAACTTGCAAAGCCCCAGCAAGATCAAGGTGCCTCCGGTGTGCTAGTGCCAGGCATGGGGCCAGATCCTGCAGGGCATTGTGTGCTGTGCAGAGAGCAGGTCTGTGGCTTCAGGTGGAACCTGTTAGGCTCCTGCTGATTAGACACAAGCAGGTTTCAGACACTGAGGCTGGATGTCAGCAGGCATGTTCAGGCTGTGTGTGGGAGGGGTCCCTGCCAGACCTCGGGGCCTCACCAGGGCTGCCCAGGCTCCTACTATCCTGAAGCATCCATGCCCTATAGCTGTTCTCAGGCTCAGCCCAAGGGACTACCTCTGTGTGGGTGGATCCCTGCTTCTCCTCTGTGGCCTCTGCTTTGAGGTCCTGGCTCTTTTCTAGAACTTTATAGAATAATTAAAATTTCAGTTGTCCAAGCCCTCAGCTTGCCTGAGTTTGGGATTCTAAAGAGCAGCAGAGGTGGAGTCAGCCCAGCCTGCCCAACCCCTGACCACCTGAGGCCTGGGGAGTGACTGCCCAAGGCCACATGAGCTGGCTGAAACCCCTGGCCCTGCTCTAAGCTAAGCTCCCCATACTGGGGGAAGAGAGATAGGATTGTGTTCAGGACATGCCGCGTACCACATGGGGAGACTTTGGGTCCCTGCCTTGGCTTGGAAGGTGCCAATCAGGTGGGCTACAGCTGTAGTCTATGCTGCCTGCAGATGACACGCACAGCCATCTCTGACACAAGCATGCCTGGAGCTCTTTGTGGTGGCCATGCTCATCCCCATCTCACAGGTGGAGAAGTGAGGACCCAAGGGAAGCCAGGACTTTCCCAGGACATACATCCTGGCAACAACCCTGGGTTTAGGGGTGCCTGCTTTGTGCTGGGGACTTCCTGAGAGGACCCCAAATCCTTTGCATTCTCCAAAAGGAGCCCCTGGTGATCAGCATTTCACAGAAGGGGAATCTGAGGCTGAAAAAAACCAGGCCCCGCCCACGTCCTCCATGTACCATGTAGAAGGGAAGCCTGGACCAGGCTGTAGAGGGCATGGGCCAGGGAGTCCTGCAGACCAAAGACGAATGTCAACCCATTTCCTAGCTTGAACCCTTGAGCTGCTAGCATAGCCTCTACAGCCCCAAATTTCCTGATCTGTAGAAAAGATAACATCAGGTTGACACAATGAGCTTTCCATACCATACCTGGTTCCTAAGGGCCGCTTAAAGAATGGAGGATGTTACCTGGATTTATTACCACCTGCCAGACGCCAATGGAAAACCAGTGGGGCACTCACCTTGCACAGACACCTGTGTGCCCGGTCCAGACTTAAGCTCCTTTTCCGCAGTACCGTCTCTCCGGAACTTCACACAGTAGTAGGTGCCAGTGTCTGCTGTGGTGACATCACTGATGCGGATGGAAAAGTCCATGTTGTTTTGCTTTGTGTGGTCTGAGAGGGCTGTGACTCGGGGGTACTGGCCTCCCTTGAAGTCATAGATTCTCTTCCGGCCTGGCCCAGCCCCCTTGAACCATTTCATAAGCTCCTTGGGCTGCAAGGGGGTATTTACGCTGCAGCGCAGGGTCACGGAGTCTCCAGCTTTCACCGACACAGACTTGTCAGGCTGAGTCACCTGCAGCTTCTTCTCTGCTGCCCCTGCTGGGGGAGGAGACAGAGACCTTATCTATTCATCCTCATGGGAACCTGCTACATCAGGAAGTGCGTGTCAGTCTTAGGATCATTTGCCCTAAAATATTCCAATTGAGTGAAACAATCAACACAATGGATGATACATTAAAATATTCAGATCTTATAAACTGACAAATGGAACTCTATAAACTTCCAGTTAAAATAGTGAGTTCCAGGCCCGGTGCAATAGCCTAGCAGCTTAAGTCCTCGCCTTGCACACACTGGGATCCCATATGGGTGCCAGTTCTAATTCTGGCAGGCCCACTTCCCAACTAGCTCCCTGCTGGTGGCCTGGAAAAGCAGTCAAGAACAGCCCAAAGCCATAGCACCCTGTACCCGTGTGTGGGAAACTCAGAGGAGGCTCCTGGCTTCGGATTGGCTCAGCTCCAGCTCCTCCTCTCTGTATATCTGACTTTGCAATGCAAATAAATAAATCTTTTTAAAATAAATAAAATATTTGTTCCAAAATCAATCAAAAGACATCTTTCAAGTATTATTATTTATTATAAAACACCTAATAAAGAGATGATTATTGTCAGTGCTTCTTAATTTTTAGCATGCATTCATTTATTTATTCTTTTTTTTTTAAAGAATTTTTTTTATTACAAAGTCAGATATGCAGAGAGGAGGAGAGACAGAGAGGAAGATCTTCCGTCCGATGATTCACTCCCCAAGTGAGCGCAACGGCCGGTGCTTTGCCGATCTGAAGCCGGGAACCAGGAACTTCTTCCAGGTCTCCCACACGGGTGCAGGGTCCCAAAGCTTTGGGCCGTCCTCAGCTGCTTTCTCAGGCCACAAGCAGGGAGCTGGATGGGAAGTGGGGCTGCCGGTGCCCATATGGGATGCCGGCGGGTTCAAGGCGAGGACTTCAGCCGTTAGGCTGCGCCACCGGGCCCTGTTTATTTATTCTAAAGATTCACTTATTCACAGCAAAGTCTGAGTTTCAGAGAGAAGGAGAAACAGAGACACATATTCCATCTGGAAACATCTGGTTAACTCCCAGTGGTCACAATAGCCAAGTCTGGAATGGCCAGGGCAGAAAACCCCCTTCAGGTCTTCCACGTGGGTAGCAAGGGTCCAAGTACTTGAGATTCTTCTGCTGTCTTTCCAGTCAGTAGCAGAGAACTGGGTGAGGAGTAAAGCAACTAAGACATGAACCAGTACCCACAAGGGACTACACCACAAACACTGGCTCCTGCTTTTTCATTCAACATGAATCTTTGGGAAAAAAAAAATTCAAGGTGTCTCATGATGGATCTCTATAAGATGAACACCATTTTGTTCCACTTGCCTGGGCCCCATATGCAGTCACTAATATCATTAAACCACTGATTCCACTCAGTCAACAACGTGGCACACCTAGACTGGCTAACACGTTCTGTTGTCTTACAAGAACCTCTTAGCTGCCATCAGCCCCCACCTCTGAAGGGGTGCTGTCCCTCCTTTCTAGGCCACCCAAAGGAGTCCTCAACAATCTTGCAATGAGAGAATCTTGATATAATATTTGCAGATAAAATCTTAACAATAGCCCCTCTCTCCTGTAATACAGCTGAGGCCGTGGGCCCTGCACCCGCGTGGGAGACCTGGAAGAAGTTCCTGGTTCCCAGCTTCGGATCAGCGCAGCTCCGGCTATTGTGGCCACTCGGGGAGTGAATCATTGGATGGAAGACTTTCCTCTCTGTCTCTCCTCCTCTCTGCATATTTGACTTTGCAATAAAAATAAATAAATCTTTAAAAAAAATAAAGATAGTCTATTGAACAGTGAAAAGGGAAGGAGATTGCTAGTTCCTTTTTGGCTCTCTGTCTCTCTCTCTCTTATTTCTTTCTCCCTTTGTAACTCTGCCATTCAGATAAATAAAATAAATTTTTAAACAAATGGTAGAAAAGCTATAACTCTGTAGGCACAGAGGCCTTGTGTAACATCCACCGAGGTAGAGCTGATGTAGATGTAATTACACACATAGACAGCAGCAGCAGAGTGTCTGTCGTATCCCCCTCTGCCTTCCACCCTCTGCACAGAAGAGCAAACTGCAGGCTTGTGGGGCATACACATTCAGCTTTGAGAGAAAATTCATTTCACCAGCAGAGATCTTGGCTCACCTGAGGAGCTTGGAGTGGAAAGGAAGGATAGAGAAGTGGGCAGGGTGACAGGAAAACCACACATCTGTGTAATAGGCTGTTCGTGCAGACAGCAGCAGAAACAAGTGTTTTGAAAATCTTGTCTGTGTGCATGCATCCTTGCGTGCGCACACTCACGTCTTTCATACACCTGCATTCACACGCATACACAGAGGAGTTTCACATGTTATGTGTGGCCGCCATGCTAGCACACCAGGTGGTTTTGATGATAAAAGCACAGGATACTATTGGGCACACACTAACCAGTACCCTCGGCAGAGTTTTAAGTCTGATTTTCTCCAAGTGGATGTGGGTCTTAGTCATTCCTCAGTGTGCCTCTCTTCTAAACTTTTTTTTTTCTAAATCAGTCTGCCAGGGGGGGGCTGCCAGCACAGTAAGGTTAAAAGGATGAATGTCTGGGGCCTAGTGTGCTGGCTCAACTGGCTACATCCTCAACATGCATGTACCAGGATCTGATATGGGCCCTGGTTCATGTCCTGGCTGCACCACTACCCATCCAGCTCCCTGCTTGTGGCCTTGGAAAGCAGCAGAGGACCCAAAACCTTGGGATTCTGCACCCACATGGGAGACCCAGAAGAAGATCCTGGCTCGTGGCTTTGGGTCAGCTCAGATCAAGCTTGTGGTCATGTGGGGAGTGAACCAGAGGATGGGAGATCTTGTCTCTCCTTCTCTCCTCTCCGTAAATCCAGTCAGCCTTTCCAATAAAAATAAACATGTCTTTTTAAAAATTACATCAAAGGATGAAGCCTGGAGCCTCTTCAGCCTGTGTTTGAATGTTGGCTGCTCTACTGACAGAGGGCGGAGACCCTGAGCTTGTTCCTCATTTTGCCTAAGTTTCCCCATGGGCATACAGGAGATGATACTAAGAGCTAGCACTCAGGGAGGCTGTGAGCACATGGAGTGCTGAAGACTAAGCCTGTCCTGCCAGAAGAGCCCCACCACAGAGCCCCTGCCACCGGCCTTCATGCAGCGTGTGTCACAGGGACACTCTGTGAAGCTAGACTCCTGCTCTCTCAGCCCTGGGGGAGGGGGTGGCATCACAGCAAGCCCCAGGTGGGGAATAGCCAGCACTCTGGGGTCAGCACCACGGCACAGGAGAGGAAGGGTATGTGGGAGCTGTGAGCAGGGGCTACCCAGGCTGCAGAAAGCAAAGCCCTGGCTGGAAGCCAGGCAGTGCTGGCAGCTGGCTCTGAGCTCACTCTGGCCATGGACAGCTGGCATGGCAACTTGAACCCTCATGCCTTGCAAGGATTGGAACAAACACCCTTTTGAAACGGTTCTGCCAACATACATATACATATATACATATATACATATATACATATATACATATATACATATATACATATATACATATATATACACATGCTCCAGTCCCCCTTTCTCTGTCCTCAGCAATGCCCACTCATGGCCTTTCACCATGCTATCTGTCTGGTGTCCCCAGAAGTCCATGGGCACTAGCGTGAATCATGTGCTCCCTAGCAGGACTCACCTGTCAGCTCCAGCAGCAGAATCAGCAGCAGGAAAGCATGAGGAAGATGGAGCTGGGAGGCAGGGGCAGGCATGACGCAGACTACAGAGGCTGTCTCATCCAAATGTCTGTGATGGCAGGGATCCTGGGCTACTCTGCAGAGGGAAGAGGTGCTGTGCCTGCTACACAAGAGGAAGTGGCCCCAACAGATATCAACTTCCGGCTACATGGCTACAAGCTGTCCTGTAGCCCTTGACCCTTGGTGCCCTAGTCAACTATGGAAAGATTGTCAAAATAGGGTCCGGGGTGGTGGCCTAGCATCGGTTAAAGTCCTCGTCTTGCATGCTCTGGGATCCCATCTGGGCGCCGGTTCTAATCCAGGCAGCCCGGCTTCCCATCCAGCTCCCTGCTTGTGGCCTGGGAAAGCAGTGGAGGACAGCCCAAAGCCTTGGCACCCTGCACCTGTGTGGGAGACCTGGAAGAAGGTCCTGGTTCCCAGCTTCGGATCGGCATAGCATCAGCCATTGCAGTCACTTAGGGAGTGAATCAAAGGATGGAAGATCTTCTTTTCTGTCTCTCCTCCTCTCTGTATATCTGCCTTTCCAATAAAAATGAAATAAATGTTAAAATAAGAAAAAAAAAGACTCCTTAATATAGCTATCCTACACTTGTCTGACATAATCTCGTTCACACCTGCCACAAGCCATCTTCCACTGATTTCCCAGGCTACAAGCAGGGAGCTGGATAGCAAGTGGAACAGCCAGGACATGAACCGGTGCTTGCAAGATGAGGATTTAGCCACTGGGCCATGGCGCTGGGCCCAGGCGAGGTTTCCGGTCTAGGAAATCTGGTTGTGCAGGTTCCAATTCCATCTTTTTCACTTATCTCTGGAGGGAGCTTGTTTCCATTTCCTTCTCCATTTTTGGTAGTCTCAGCAGGACCTTCTTGATTAGGTAGTTTTGAAACAAATTGGTACAGGTTCAAGTGACCCGTGATCCATACGGGCCCCTAGGAAGCGCCAGCTTGTTGCGGTCATGACTCTATCGTGCAGGCACAAGTGCAAGCTGCAATTGGTCGCCATCCTCTGCGGGACAGGAAGCAGGGCAGCCTACGGGCCTGAGCTCCTTTTTTGAGACCACAGACCCTGGAGAGGATCCTGAGGCTCCCTACATTCAGCTGGACATACTGCAGTTGCCCTGCTTGGGACAAGTATCTCATGGGAACTGGGTGTATATGGTGAGAGGCACCGTCACAGCCATGGAGGGGTGAGAAGCGGATGCAGTCTGTAAGCGGAGGGGCTGCCTCAGTTTATTGTTTTGAGAGAAAGAGAGCAGCATTCCCAATACAACAAACAGAAAAATTGAATTATGCCAACTTAGAAACCAGTTTAGCCCAAGAACAGTAAATCACGAATCCCTTTATATCATGATTGATGGTTGTATTTGAAAGACACAGAACTCCCATCAGTTGGTACTCTCCAAATGCCTACATGGGCTGTGAAAACGGAAATTCAATGCAGACTTCCCGTGTGGGTGGGCAGGACGTCCCGGCCCATGGTCTCTGGGAGAAGCATCAAGATTCCCTGACCCAGGAAAACAAAAGCAGAGGGGCCACAACCAAGTATGGAGACCCAAGGTCAGCTGAGGAGTTGTGTTGCTGTCCTGCAGCGATGGACTTGGTGCAGAGCCAATAATAACTCGCGTGGACTACTGACTGATGGTCAATAGCCAAAGTTGATCAGGAGCATCAGACTTTATACACTGAGGGTCTTATGGGATAAGGGAGGAGTTATTGAGCTCATCAACAAAACCCATCAAATGTTTCTATACTTTTGTTTGGAACTCCTTTTGCTTTGTATATTCCACCGAGTATTCTCATTCACATGCTATCCACTCAACTGCTCTCATATAAATGATATCCATTTAGTTATAGAATGGTACACATTGTTGTTCCTATACAAATGACAAGCAATCAGTTATACAAAAGGTATCCATTCGGTGGTTCTCATGCAAATGTTGTCCAATCAATTATAATTCTGTGCTCGCTGACCTTCTAGGGTTGGATGTCCTTCTACAGAGTTGGATCTTGGGGACCCCAATACCCATAGATCTCTACCCTACATTAATCCATTTGTCAGACTCCAGAGCAGGTAGAACCTCCCCTCCTTGCTTATCAGCATTCTTGTTGGGGGAGAGAGAGGTTGCCTTACATACTCACAACCTAAAATGGTCATGTACCTACTTGTTCCCCACTGCCTTGCAATCCCATCATAGTTATGCTAAAAAAAAAAAAAAAACTAATCTGAAAACTTGAAAGAGCCAGCCAGCTGCCAGCTGCAGCCAATGTTGTACCTGGAGCCTGCACAGATCATCTCAGACAGACTGGAGAGTTACCTGTCCTTCAGCATCCTCTTAAGCCATACACCTGCCATGACTCCTAGACGCCATCTTTGCACAAGTCATGCTTATCATGCCAGGAGTTGTCAACATGCATGCACCAGAGACACGCCCCACCCCTTCCCTTTGTCCACTTGCTTTCATCCAGTGACCCTAATTCCATACATTCCCAATCTACTTTCTCTATGGAAAGATTGTTTCTGGCCTTGGCCCAACCTGCCCCTTTTCTCCAAGCTGATAATCAACATGCAATGTTGTCTTTCTCAGAAGATAGGTCAGGCGCTTTATAATAATGACAGTGTACCTGTGAGGAGGCGACCTGCCATCTGATATTACAGGGGCCCAGGACACTGGCACTGGGTGGTCTTACAGTGGAAAGGAGGGATCTTGCATTGCAATGGGGGTCTCCATTCCTACAGGTCCTACCAGGACACAGTGCACTGAAAACCTGCTCAGAACAACCTGAGCCCAGATCCCAGTTCAGCTGATGTGCAAATTTAATGCAGTTTTTGTCCATGTCAATGGAAATAAGCAGGATCTGTAATTAGGTTATGATGAGTCTGGCACTGTGGTATAGTAGGCTAAGTCAACATTTGCGATGCCAGCATCCTATATGGGTGCCAGTTTGAGTCCCAGCTACTTCATTTCTGATCCAGTCCCTGATCATGCACCTTTGGGCCCCTACACGGACAAATGAGACCTTGATGAAGCTCCTGGCTCCGACTTGGCCCAGCTCTGCCTGTTGAGGCCATCTGAAGAGTGACCTGACACCTGGAAGCTCTCTGTCTCTCCTCCTTGCTCTGAAACTCTTCCTCTCAAATAAGTAACCTTTTTATAAAAATAAAGTTTATTCAGGGCAGACTATGAGTGATATGGGCCCAGGAAACACAAGCCCAGTGATTTTCAAGGAGCCTTGGGAATTATCCCCAAGTGGATTTGGGATTCCATAGTGAGCACGCTATCAGCCTGGACTGGAGAGATGAGCTTTGGCACAGTGTGGCAGGATGGGCTGTGTCTCAGAGATCAGAATATGGTCAGGCCCAGTGCCATAGCCTAGTTCTCACTTTGCATGTGCCAGGATTCCATATCAATGCCTGTTCATGTCCTAACTGTTCCACTTCCCTTCCAGATCCCTACTGTGGCCTAGGAAAGCAGGAGAGGACCGCTCAAGTCTTGGGACCCTGCAACCATGGGGAGACCAAGAAGAAGCTCCTGGCTTCAGATCGGCTCAGCTCTAGTCATTGAGGCCACTTGGAGAGTGAGCCAGCGGACAGAGGATCTTTCTCTCTGTATCTCCTTCTCTCTGTATATCTGTCTTTACAATAAAAATAAACAAATCTAAAAAAAAAAAAAAAAGGAATTTGATCGGCCAGGGAGCGCACTGTGAGCAGAATAATGAGCTGAGGGTCCGGGTCAAGCTGGTTTGCGTTCTCCCCCTCTAGAATGTGAGCAACAAGATAGCAGCGGCTTCTTCATGGCTGTCAGTAACGCTGGAGCAAGTGAGTGAGCGAAGGAAAAGGCGAAGGAAGCCACTGAGTAACCGGGGCTCCCGGGTCCCCACAGGTGGTAGGTACCTGCAGGGGCCTCTGCGTCACCCACGTCCACCGTTAGGCTGCAGTACCGCGCGCCGCAGCCGCCAGAGGGCGCTAAGCGGCGGCGTTTCCCGCACGGAGGACTTTGCGTGAGGCACTGCGTGGGGCGGGGCGCCCAGCGAGAGGGGCTGGGCGGCGTCGGGCGGAACGCGGCCGCGCGGCGCCGTCCGGAGCAGTTTAGGAGGTGCACGAGGCGAAGATGGCGGCGGAACGGGAGGACGCGCTGAGGGAGTTCGTGGCGGTGACGGGCGCCGAGGAGGACCGGGCCCGCTTCTTCCTTGAGTCGGCCGGCTGGGACCTGCAGGTCTGGCCGCGAGGCGGGCGGGCGTCGAGCGGGTCGCGGGGGGCCCGCGGGGCTTGGGGCGCTTGGTACCGGCAGCCCGAGGCGGCCGAAGCGCACCGTCATTCCCCCGCCCGGCCGGAGCCCGACCCAGGCCTCAGGGGCTTGGGGCAGCTCGCTCCGCGTGGCGGGGTCGTGGGGAAGGCCTGGCCGACCGTCACTGCCCCCGTTGGGGCTCGCTGTTCTCTCGCTGGCCGCTTCACCCGCGCGGCGCGGCTGCCGGCGTGGAGAGGGGCGCCCGGGGGCGTGGCGGCCGCGCGAGGTGGGCGCTGCTGGCCGGGGAGGACCGGGGTCGGCACGCCGAGCTCCCGACGGGAGCAGCCCCTCGTCCCGAGCCCCCAGCACGGCGGGTGCAGGGCGGTGGTCCGGCCCGGGGAGTTGGCTCACGCCCCTGCTCCGACCCACCCGCTGAGGGTGACTGGGGGGCGGGGGTCGGCGTTACCGCTGGGGGAACCGGCTCTCCTTTACTCGGACAACTTCTCTTGTGAAATGGGGGATCGGGAAGAGGGAGCTCGTGGAATTGATTGGGTGGGTCACCTGGCCGGTGGTCAGCAGCTGTGAACGATTTGTGGGGCGAATGAAACAAACGTGGAATCAGCTGCGCGCGGTGGAGAGCGCCGCTCCGTCCCCGGCGCCCAGAACAATACCCCTCGCTGAGAGATGCGTGAAGATGGCATTACGTCCCCGGTCTTGGCCAGCCTCCTTAAGTAAACGGCGATGACTAATGTTTACCGAGGACCCGATGGGAACCTCGCGCTGACCTCTGCCTTCCGTGCCCTGGCCTGTTGCAGCTGGCGTGTGTAGAGGTTACTG